CATTAGGTCAATCAGCAGTCTAGTGGTCAGCAGAAGTGTTGCATTAGGTCAATCAGCAGTCTAGTGGTCAGCAGAAGTGTTGCATTAGGTCAATCTGCTGCACAAGACCTCTGTGGAGCGTTGAAGAGCACGGCTGCTGCTTTGAGGACTAAGCTGCACCTGACTCAAGCCCAATGGTTTTCTCCATTAAGCAATAAAAGTGAAAGTTAGACCTGGAATCAGGGAGACTAGTGAATTGGTGCATTTGAATCATGGTGCTGGAGGGGACATCGAAAGTACCATTGACGGCTAAAAGGACAAACTGGTCTGTCCTGGAAGAAGTAAGGCCAGAGTACTCCTTAGAGGCAAGGGCGGCAAGACTTCATCTTACATACTGTGTTAGTCCAGTAGACTAGAGAAACAAATCCAGGGATATTCATATGTGTGTAAGAGATAACGGTATATCAAAAAGTAATTGCATATTCAGAAAACATCCCCGTCCATTCCAGATCAAGTCCATCAGTCTGATATTAGCCGGTATGTCTGATATCAGTCTATAAAGTCCTCTTCAGACTCACGCAACACATGCAATGATGCCGAATGCAGGAAGATCACAGGCCACGGGGAGGAAAGTCTTGTGGATCTAGTGATGGTGGAAGCGTGGATCTCTGCGTGGCTCCTCCAGCCCCAGGGCTCTGGTTCTATCAGCGTAGCTCCATGTGGCTGGTCAACAGGAATGTCTCGCAGGCAGTGTATCTGGCCTCCAGTGAGCTATCTCCCGCGTGCCTCCAAATGAGGTCATCAAGCTGCGACCTGATGGACAGACTGGACTCCACCCCTTCACAAATTGACAGGAGAGATGTCACTGCCACACACCCTTTGGACTAGTTGTCAGGAGCGACCAGTCCGTGGAGAAGGGCATCACGTTTGGTCAAGTGGAAGGGTGGTGAAGAGAGGAAGCCTTTGATGAGCTGGGTGGACACAGTGGCTGGAAACCATGGGCTCAGGCATAAGAGCAGCTGTGAGGGCAGTGCAGGAGTGGGCAGTGTTTTGTTCTGAGGGTCGGAGCCCCAACTCCATGGCACCTGACCACACAGTGGCGCGATGCAGGTTAAAGTCTGAATTGGTTGACTCTATGGTCTTGATAACACTCCATCCCACCTTCTGCAAGACAGATGCTTTTTGCTTACAGAAATGATTGCACTAAGGATAAAATAGGACCTACTATAGTGACTGAGCCCTGGGGGAAGGAGCGGGGAGGGGCGGGGGATAAGTCACCCTCCAGGGGTCACCAGGAGCTTGGGGGTGAAGACCTGCTGAGCAGGCTGCAGCAGGGTCCCGGACAAGGCAGGAAGGAGGCCTGGCCAGCTGCCCCCAACAGTCAGCCAAGGAAACCCTGCGAAGGGCAGTCCGCTCTGAGATCAACACGCGGCACAGGGCCGCCAGCATGCACAGGTCCCTCCTCATGGGTGAGCAGGCCCGCCTCTTCCTCAGGGCTCTACCTGCTCAGCTTCCCCCCTTTACCCCCACCAGCCCCGTCTCCTCCTCCTCCCTGGCAGGTGCCATACTTGTTCTGGGGGTGTCCACTGTGTCCACCTGAGTTGAGCTGCGACTTAGCACTGCCTCCTCCCCCAGCTGGTTCCTCAAGCCGTTTCGCCCCACCCCCTTTCTGGAGGGGGTGGCGCTTGAGAGTTGATTTAGCCCCGCCCCCTCTGGAAGGAGCGGGAGAAGGCAGGTGATCCACTGCAGACCCCATTCCAGTACCCCCAGGTGCCACCTGCCAGGCCCCCACCCTCCTGGTGGCTCTGGAGCAGGCGGCCGGGTCAAAGGTGGTCACAGTCAAAGTCCCGCAGGCAGGTGAGGGAGCGTGCCGTCCAGGGCCCCACGCCCAAGGCCTGCAGCGGGCAGTTTGCTGCTGGTCAGTCGGGCAGAAGGTAGCCATCACGTGGCCCAAGGTGGGGCATCTCCATCTCCCTGATGAAGCTGCGACCCCGCCTGCTGGCGCCCAACTTCTCCCCCAACCCCCAACCCCAGCAGCAAGCTTCTCCCACCGTCTCCCAGCAGCAGGGCCCTCTGGGGACATTGCACAGGGTGGCCCCGCCCTCCCGGCTGGCTTTCCTATCTGAGACCCTGCCTCTTCTTATCAGCTGAGATTCCCCACTGGCTTGGGGGACCCACTTTTCCCGCCAGCCCTCTGGGAAGCTCTCCAGTGACCCCAGTGCTCCCCTGTCCTGGGTACCCAGGGGAGAGGCGGGCTGAGCCCAAGCTGCCCCTGGCGGTTCTGCAAGCAGCCACTGAAGACCCTGCCCCTCCTGCCCGTCCTGTCTGCTTAGAAGAGGAGGGCAGGCACTGGCTGCTGAGGACAATGGCTTTGGCCTGTGGCTCTCAGGGGAGGGCGCTGTGGGATGAAGGGGTGCTGACCCACCCTGCTGGGCTGCCCAGGAGTCTGTGTCCAAGCCAGGAATGTAGCCTGGAGCCCAACCACGGGGGGGCGGAGGGGGGGGGTTGTGGTGGTGAGGAGGGGTCCTCCACCCCCACCCCCCATTCCTTACTGGAGCTGCATGGGTGCGTTTCCCAGGGACACCCATTTCCCAGGAGGAAAGCTGAAGCACAGAGCTGACTGACCATGGGCCTGACAGGTGGCCCTCCACAGCAAATCCCACACCCCTTGCTTGCTGCATCCATGCACAGCCAGGGCCACCACGCGGACCTGGCTTTGAACTAAAACCACACCCACCCATGAGACCCTATAGGACCAAGTAGACTTGCCCCTGTGGGACTGGACACTAAATCCTCCCGGAGCACACAGCTGCATCTTTCCCCCAGGAGTGCTGCACCTCAGGGTCTAACCCTCTGCACCACCAGGGCTCTTAGCTGTGTGTGGGTGGGGCTACTTCGTGGGGGGCTGAGGGCACCTGCTCATGTGGCGGGAGAGCTTGACCCATCAGGACCAGTTACTGGGCCCCTGGGAACACAGGCTCTGCACCCTGGGGCCGGAGTCCAAGGTCCCCTGGGGCAGCCCTCCCACAGATATAGGGGCCACTGCACGGATGGTCTGGCCCCAGGCCAGCAGTGAACCCTCTCAGCAGGTGGGACAGCAGGGTGGAGGGTGGGAAGCTCTCTCTCCCTGGTACCTTGTACTCCACCCTTGTCCCCACTTACCCCTTGTCCCCGCTGGCTGTGGAGGCCAGCTGGGTCCTCTCAGCTAGTATCCCTGCTCTGGAACCAGAGAAAGAGAGGCCCCGGCTTAATGATACCACCCCTCCACTGCCCCCGCATCATACTGCATGTCCCGGTCACCCCTGCAGCTCCTGCATGTCCCCACCACCCCCGCGTGACACTGCATGTCCCTGTCACCCCAGTAGTGCACTGAGAGCAGCTATGTGCCCCAGCCTGCCAGGCCTCTCACGCTTCTGTCCGTCCACCAATCGATGCAGCTGCCCAGGAGGGCAAACCTGAGGCCATAGAGCCATGCTGTGCGTCAGCCTGGCACTACTCTGCCCTCAGGCTCTCCAGAAGCGCGGTCTCTCTGGGTTCCATGACCCCCACCCAACCTGGACACTGTGTCTCCACAGGGGGATGGCGGGCACCCTGGGCTCTGACGTGGAGACGGTCTCCCAGCTGCGTGACGTCCTGGTGGTGCTGCCCACGCAGGAGACACTGCGGTTGGCCGTGGAGGTGAGAAGGGGGGAGGGGGGCTGGGGGTGAGTGAGGGGGTACTGGGGTGAATGAGGGGGCTGGGGTGAGTGAAGAGGTTTAGTGGGGATCTCTCCCGATAACATGGCCAAAGTCCATGAGAGGAATGCCGCCATCCTCGCTCCTAAGGTGCATTTGTACTGCCTCCGAGACGGATCCGTTTCAATCTGCTGTCAAAACCCAGCCAGGCCACTCCCGGCGGCTCACAGCAACCCTGCAGGGCCCAAGAGAAGCGCCCCTGGGTTTCCCAGACCGACTGGTTCTGGGAGTAGAAAACCTAGACTTTCTTCCGAGGAGCAGCTGGTGGTTTTGAACTGCCGACCGTGAGAAACGCAGCCCAATTCATATCCACCATGCCACCAGGGCGCCGTATCCTCAGCGAGCACGGTCATTCAAAAGCATGGTCAGTGTCACGAGCAAATGAAGCCGCTGGAAACACCAGAACTCAGGTTAAGTGCTTCCTTGTCCCCCGAGTGACAGCTTGGCTTTTTGGTGACCCTCCCTGCGCAGCAGCGCTGACCACCGCCATGCCGTGATGTTTCTGGACTGCTGCTTCCGTGGGAGTGGGTTGTAGACCCAGGTCAAGTGAGAGCGCATGGGACCATGACGCCATCTATTCATCCAGTTGTGAGGATGGCGGTTTCCTTTACCGTCACTCGAAGGCTCAGTCCTTCAGCTTCATCAGCAAGTGCTCCCAGGCCTCCTCCCCTCTGCACGCAGGGCTGCGTCGCCTGCATGTCGCAGGTTGTTCCTGAGACCTCCTGGTGCCGCGTTCTTCCTATGATCCAGCTTCTGTGGTGATCTGCTAAGCGCACAGACTGAACCAGCAGGGTGAGAGGATGCAGCCCTGGTGCACACCTTTCCTGATTTAAACCTTGCTGGATGTAAACCTCATTCTGTTCAAATAATGCCTCTGGGCCTGTGTACAATGAAGTGTTCTGGAATTTTCATCCTTCTCAGTGCTATCCATGGTTTTTTAGGATCCACACAGTCAATAAAACACAAGTAAACGTTTCTCGGGTAGTCTCTGCTTTCAGCCCCGATCCGTCTGACATCAGCAATGCTATCCCTTGTCCCGCATCTTCGTCTTAATCCGCCTCGAATTTCTGGCACTTCCCTTTCCACGTATTGGTTGCCACTGTTTATTTTTTCATTATCTTCAGCAAAATTTTATTTACTTCAATACCAGTGATAGTGCTCAATGCTCTCCATGTTCCCTTGGGTCACCTTTCTGTGGACCGGGCACAGATGTGGATCTCATCCAGGTGACTGTCTTCACAGAGACAGTGAGTGTTTCCAGCGCTCCAGCAGCTTGTGGAAACATTCCGATTGATATCCTATCAATTCTCCGACTGTCTTTTGCTAGTGACTGCAGTGGAGTGTGGACTTCTTTCTTCAGCGCCTCCGGTTCTTGCTCACGTGGTACCTCTCCACGTGATTGCTTGCTGACCAGTTCTGGGGACAGAGACTATGCGTATTCCTACCATCTTCTTTGGATGCTTCCTCCGTCATTCAACATTTTCCACATAGGATCTTTCAGTATTGCAACTTGAGGCTTGGGTTTTTTGCTTCGGTTCCTTTCTGCTTGAGAAACGCAGCGTGAGTTCTCAGAACTTTGGGTTTTCTAACTCAAGGGCGTTGCACATTTCTTTACAAGACTGTCTTTGACAGCCACCAGCTCTTCGATGCCACCCTTTCTTCCATGTCCTCCAGCTACTGTACCTCAAGGGCAAGGGGCAGGGTCTCTTCTGATGCCACTTTGATCTTCTCCTCGTCGCTCTTTTTGAGGACCTTCCCGTTCTCCACGAGCGATGGTCTTGGTGTCCCCCACAGCTCAGGGGCCCTCTGTCCTTGGGCCACATTTGTTCTTGGGCCGTGTCTCCATCCTGTGGGGTCGGGTCGGGTTGTGTTTCGGTTTTGTGGACTTGTTTCCATTTTCTTCAACTTGAACTTGCCTTCGAGCAGTTGCTAGTCTGTCCCACAGTCCACCCCGGTTTTGTTTGTCCAGCGATAATTGAGCTTCTCCACCATCTCTTCCCGCAGATGGGGTTGATTCGAGTCCTGTGCGCTACACTGGACAAGGTCAATGTGGACAGTCACTGTTTATGTGCTAAAAAAAAAAGATATTTGCAACCACAGAGTTGCTGATCTTATAAAACCCTCATCATTACTTTATTGCTTTATTACTATCACCAAGGCCATATTTTCTAACGACCAATCCTTTCTCTTCATTTCCAACTTCCACATTCTCACTACCGGTCATGAATCCATCATCATTGCGTGTTTGATCAATGTCCAACTGAAGAAGCCGGTGGAGTTTAATTGCCTCGTCACTGGCATTAGTGGTTGGGGTGCAAGTTGAAATGGTGGCTGTATCCACTGGGCTTCCTTGTAGGGGTGCAGACATGACCCCTAGCACAGGCAGCACGTGGTTCACGCCAGGCCCTGAACTCTTATTTCTGAGGATGAATGCAGCACAATCCCCTTTACTCCTGCATTGTGAAGGACGGGGCTGCCTGCCCAGAATGGCCAGGACCAGTCTAGTACTGTGTTTGTGATGGCTCCCAATTTTCCTAGATTCATCTTCATACGCTCCACGTTCCAATTATGTTTGCCACTCTCTCTTCTCCTGTAGTCAGGCCCCATCGGCAACAAGTGTCCCACAGGTCGGCTCCGTCCGCCTAGTGAAGGTCACTCCACCCTGACGGGCAGCTCTTCCCCAAGTCTTGTTGTGGCCTCTGAGCTGCGGGCTTGTCACCTGCCCTCGCCCACTGCTGCTCACAGGGTTTCCGCTGCTCATGTTTCAGAAGCGGGACCCCTCCTCCTTCTTCGCAGTCTTAGTCTGGAAGCCCCTTTGAAGCCCGTCACCGTGGGCGTCCTGTCGGGCATGTGAAGCGCCGGGGGCAGAGTGGCCAGGCCCGCAGCCCGTGCACGCCAGCACAGTGCGACACAGGGCTGGCCCTGGAAAGCGCCCCATTGTAAGGGTGAATGTGTCCAGCGATGGCTTGGCCTCCACGTGGGCCAGGCTGGACGTCTGGCTGACCTGCCTGACTGGTGGGCCTGCTGCCTCCTGGACCAGGCTGGACCCCACTCAAGATGAAGGACAATGTGGTGGTCACATCCCGGGAGTGGCCTCTCGTCCACCTCGGGCCCTCGCTGCGAGCCACCGTGGCAATGCCGGTGGGGTTTCCCTGCACCCAGCGGGCTCCTGCTGAGGAGGGAGGGTAGTGGTGGGGGAACCAAAGACCCCTGCCCACTGACTGCCACCATCCACTTGGCTGGTTGGCACTGGGAGACTGAGGGATGGAGTGGACACTTTAGCTGGATCTAAGTGCCTGGCCACAGGGAGAGACCACTTGTCCACGGCTTGATGGCTTTTTGAGTCCTGCCCCCTGCAGGATACAGCATGGCCCTGGGAGGGAGGGGTACAGTACTGACCCTCATGGCCAGGGCCGCTCCTGGCCTAGTCCTTGCCTCATTTTTCGACGCAGCCTGGCCTGAGCAGGGGCTGAGGAGGCCGTGGAGACTGGGGTGCCCTGCACACCATGAGGGCTGTGGAAACTGCAGTAGCCGACACCACGCCCTACCTGCCCGGCCAGGCTCAGGAGCAGTGTCCAGCCCCTCAGGCGCACTTGGGCAGGGTGGCTGTGCTGCCGGGGTCTCAGTGGCCAGCTTGGCGGGGGCCACCTGCTGACCCCTGCTGCCTCCCTCTCAGGTAAGAGCCACGGGTCAGGAGCTCCTCCAGCGGGTGTGTGATCTGAAGAGCATGCGAGAAGCCCCCCTCTTCGGCCTCAGCGTGGTCCGAGGTGAGCACCCCCACCGCGCTAGCGCTGCCCTTCCTGGGGGCGGGGGCCACATACCCAAGGTCGGAAATCCAGGTCCCAACACACACCCAGAGTCCTCGCTGTGCACACATACATTCACACTCACACAAGCACCCAGGCACACGTGTGCATTCATGCACAGACACACATACCCCTAAGCACACTCATCTTCCAAAACTCACTCGCACTTTGCACGCACACACGTGCTCCCCGATCTCACACACGCACATGCATGTGCACACTCACTTATGCTCACATCCATTCATACACACATGCACACACAGCCACACGCTCACACATTCTGCATGCACACTCTCAGGAGGGAGGGGTGACCTCAGGAGTCCCCGCAGGTCCTTGGGAGAAGTGGCTGCGCCTGGGCCCCTGAGGGCCCAACAAGGGTCATTGCTTGGGTCTCCGGCAGGGTCCTTTGTCCGAGTGCCTCTCGTCTGGCGTCTCTTCCAGCTCCAGCGTGTCGGGGCTGAGGGGCACAGCCCTGACTACTAAGAACTTCCCATTGGCTGGTTGCCTTGGGGGACACTGGCCTAGCTGACACTGCTGGGGCTGCAGCCCTGGGCCCCCAAGGACTGTGGAGGGTCACTGGGGGTCAGGAGATGGGGACCCCAATACCCAGCTCTATCAGCTCTCTAAGCCTGGCCAGTTGAGACTGAGAGCACTGGGGTGGACACAGAGGCCACCAAGGGTGTTCCGCCAGCCCCTGGGCCCCAGGCCTGTGTGCAGGAGGTAGGTCAGACTTGGGTGCCGAGTGTCACTGAGGGGACACAGCTGCTGTCAGATGGCCCCCTGGCACCTCCATTCAGAGCATGGCTGGTGTGAGGGGCCATCGGAGAAGCAGGCCATGTGGGGTGGGCTATCTCTCCACCAGTCCCTTGTGGGTGCAGAGGGCACCACAGCTCCTTTCGGACTCCGGCCCCGAGCCATCAGTCAGTGGCCTAGTCACTGAGTCAGGAGTGCCCAGTAGGATGGCCAGTCCCAGGGCCATCAGGGCTGGTTTGGGGGGACAGATTGGCAGCCTGTTCTCTGGTCAACCCTTGGGTGGGCTTGAAGCTTGGCTCTGTGGTTAGTAGCTTCCTGCACTGCCCGGGGGGCGAGGGGGTGGGGCTCCTGAGTGAGGGTGAGCAGGGCTGGTCCCTGAGGGTGTGTGGGTGTGTGTGTGTGTGTGAGAGAGATGCTGGCTGGTTCATGTGGCCCCATGAGAGGGTGAGCGCAGGGCTCAGTGACAGGTCATCAGTTATGCCAACAACCGGTCACCTAAGAGCAGAGCGAGGTCCTGAGGAACTTCACGGAGCTTGGTGTGCAGGGCCCCCCCCCCCATCCACTGTCCTGCCAGCACCCCCTCGTCCCCATGCAAACACAGTGGCTCTTTCCTTGCAGTGAGGCCTCAGGGAGAGCACAGAGCTTGGCCTTGGGTCAGCCCGACGTCTGTCCACCCTCACTGTTGACCTTGGCTGGAGGCTCCAGCAGACCTTTCTTGGGCTTCTCGGTCCCCCAGGGGAGGTGGCCTCTCATGGGCCCAGCCAGGGCGGACTTGGCCCTCCGCCCTGGGGTGACCAGGCAGTTGAATTCCTGGCTGGAGCGTCTCATTAAACTTGGAACGCAGGCCAGATTCCCAAGTGTGGAGGAGGCCCAGAGTCGGTCCAGTATGTGGAGGCGACCAAGTGGGCCATGCCCTCCTCTAGCTGGCTGGCCGCTGTTGCGAGGGTGCCCACCGCCCAGGGCAGATTTTCTCTGAGAGGTCAGAGGCCCAGCCTTGCTGTTGGCAGCGACTGGCTTGGAAACAACCCAGCCACATTCTCTGGGTTGGTGTCCCTGAGGTGGCCGGGTGTCACAGAAGCAGAGGGCAGGGCGTTCCCCTTCAGACGAGGGAGGACAAGGATCCAGGGCCCCTCATCTGCCTCAAGCTGAGGCCAAGTCCACCCAGCTCAGGGAGCTCAGATCACACACCCTTAGTCACAGGAAGGACACCCAGGCCGGTCTCTCATTCTCTCTGTGGGTGGCTCCTCGGGGAGGTGCTGGGGGACAACCACCGGGTTGGCAGTTCAAATCTACCAGCTGCTCCTCAGGAGAGAGATGAGGCTGCCTGCCTTACCCCTGAGCTGGAATCGGCCCGGTGGCAGTAAGTGTGACTCAGTCCGATCACTCCCCTGGCCTTACTGGTAGGAGCCCCAATGGCATAGTGGTTGCACGTCAGGCTGCTAACAGCAAGGTCAGCAGTTCAAAACCACCAGCCGCTGCTCCCAGGGAGAAAGAGAAGGCTCTCCCTCCCGTAAAGGGTTACCATCTCAGAAACCCACAGGGGCAGTCCCCCTGTCCTGTCGGGCCCTGCGCGTTGTCACCGACCCAAGGGCAGTGAGTGTGACTTGGCAGAAGCAGCAGAGGCGAAGGGGGAGGGGGTTGTGGGTGGGTGGGGACCCCTGATGTCTCCATCTGTGACCTCCAAGCAGTAACTCTACACTGCGGGACCCCACGTGGCTGCCACCTTGGCCCTGGGCCCTGCTACAGAGCCCACCTAGGAGTACCAGGCAGTGAGCTTCCACAAAGTTGCCGACAAGAAAGTGTGGTGCCAGTAGACCGCAAGGAGCCCTGGTGGCCCTGTGGGTTAGGCTTCGGTCTGCTGACAAAAAGGCTGGCAGTTCAAACCCACCAGTCACTCCCTGGAGATCCGAGAACCACGCTCTTCCTCCTGCAGACAATGAGCATGTCTTCATGGACTTGACTCAGAAGCTCAGCAAGTACTTCGCTAAGGACTGGAAGAAGGAGGCTTACAAGGTAGGTGTGGCATGGCGGGCTTGAGGTGGGGGGTGAGGGGTGGGGGGAGGGGAGGAGTTGGAGGGGCGGGGTGTCTTGCTGGCGGTGTCATCTCCTATGCGCTGGGGACTAAGTGTCCGCTGCTCGCTGCCAGGCTGGCTGTCCAGTCCCCAGCCTCCCCCCAGCCACTGGGCAGGAAAGGTGGAGCTGTCAGCTCCCACACGATTGGCAGTCTGTGGACCCCTGTGGAGGACTCCTGGTGGCCCAGTGGTTTAAGTGCTGGGCTGCCAACTGCAAGGTTGTCAGTTCGAAACCACCAGCTGCTCTGAGGGAGAGAGACGAGGCTTTCTACTCCTGTGAAGATTTCCAGTCTCAGAAACCCACAAAGGCAGATGCCCCCTGGCCTGGGGGTGGCTGTGAGTTGCCATCATCCGGATAACAGTGAGCCTGGTCTTGGTTTAGAAACCCCTGTGGGGCAGAGAACCTCTGCCCTCTGCATTGTCCTGAGCCAGAGGAGCTTGGTGACACCATGGGAAGCGCTCAGGTGCTAGCCCAAAGGGGGGCACGTTCCTTGGCTGCAGGAGAGACCCCCAGAGAAGCTGCCCTGTCAAGTCGCCCTGAGGCAAAGTCCACTGCACCTGGTATCACCCAGAGGACTGGCTGCTGGCCAGGACTGGGGCCAGGACAGTGAGAGCCCTGAGCTGGGAGGTGGCATTTAGGGCTGAACCTCCATGGTCCAGAGCCTAACTACACCCCTCCCCGGGCTCCTGGTGCAGGGTCTACCTGTCCACCCTGCCTGGCCCTGCTCAGCAGCCTGTCTCCCCATCTGTGCCAGCAGAGTGGTGAGCCTCGCCGGCCCCCCTTTGTCACCTTCCTCAGGGTGCAGTACTACGTGGAGAACGGGAGGGTGATCAGGTAAGACCGCCCGGCCCCTCAAGGACATGCTGGAAGGACAGAAATCTGCCTGGCCAGGCCCCGTCTTGAAAGCCCAGTGGTTAGCATGGGTTAGGCTGGCTGGCTCGTCTGTGGGGACTGAAATGCGTACAGACCGTGTGTCCTCACGTGGCGGCCTGTGTCCCTGGGTGGGTACTTAGGCAGGAGGGTGTTGGGCTAAGCCTCCCGCCCCCACAGCGACCGGACGGCGCGGCATCTGTACTACCGACACCTGCGGGAACGTGTGCTGCGCTCTGAGTGCCCGCACCGGGAGGAGCTCTACTTCCTGCTGGCCGGGCTGGCGCTGCAGGCCGAGCTGGGCCGCCACCGTGAGGCCGCCCACACCGGCCGCTACTTCCAGCCGCATGCCTACTTCCCGCCGTGGGTGAGACCTCGCTGCCCGGGGCAGGAGAGGGGCCGAACTGATGGAGAAGGGGACTGAACTGGGGCAGGAGGGGGACTGACCCTGGGGGTGGGGGGCGCAAACTGGATCAGGAGGAGGCCCACCCCCGGGAAGGAAGGGGGGCTGACCTCGAGGCCCGGGTAGGTCCCTGGGAGGAGACAAGGGGCACGGGGGACTTCCAGGACCTGCTCCATGCTGGCTGGAGGGCTCATCCTCCCAGCTCCTGCCCCGTGTCCTGGCTCCCCCATACCCAGGGGGACCCTCACACCCACCCCAGAAGGATGTGTCCCCAAGGTCCCCACATCCCTATTACCATGACAGAATGTATGTCCCGGGTCCTGTCCCCAGGCTGCATCTTCCTGGCCCCACAAGGCCCAGTCCCCACTTTCCCACCCACACAGGGCTGTGTCCCCCTCCCTCGGCCCCCACAGAGCTGGACCTCTCTGTGCCACCAAGGTCATGGCTCTGTCACCAAGCCATACCCCCAGACCCCCCCCCCCATCCCCCGAGGCTAACTGAATGGGCAGGCTGGCCCACTTGAAGGCCAGAGCAGGGTGGCTGACCGGTCCCTCCACAGATCCTGGCCAAGTGGGGCATCGAGTTTGTGCTGCAGCATGTGCCGGCCGTGCACCGGGAGCACCGGGGCCTGATGCCACTGGAGGCCGAGCTGCGCTTCATCCAGGAGGCCTGCCGCCTGGATGACGTCCCCATCCACTTCTTCCGGCTGCACAAGGTCGCCCATTGTGGGGTCTGGGTAGGGCTCAGGGCCCTCCACTTCCCCCAGTGGGGGACACTGAGCTGGCCAGGGCCACCCCACTAGGAGCCCATTTAGACCAAGTCTACGAGACCTGCGCCCAGGCGCCAGGCTCCGGGGTCAGGCGGCCAGGTGCTGATGGAGGGGCCAGGCTCAGGACTGGATCCCTGCAGAGGGTGGGGGGCTGCCTCCCAAGGGGCTGAGAAGGCCTCCTTCCTCACATGCGGGGCACAGGAGGAGACTGAGGCCCCAGGGAGGGTGGGAGTGCCTGTGGTCCTTGGGGGCACCTGTGCATGTGGGAATGTGTCTCTGGGTACACATGTGTGCCAGTGTGTGCACATGTGTTCATGTGTGTGTCTGTGTTCATGTGGGGATGTGCCTGTGTGCGCATGTGTGTGAGCATGTGTGCATGTGCTTCTGTGTGCATGTGTGTGCCTGACTGGAATGTGCACACGTGTGAATGTGCGCTCGTGTACACATGGGAGTGAGTGTGTACATGTTTCCTGTGTGCATGTGTCTGAGGCAAGCCTCTGTGCACAAGGTGTGTGCATACACATGTCCCTCTGTGCGCACAGGTGTGTATGTGTGTCTGTGCACACAGAGTGAGGACATATGTGTGCCTATGTTCACATCTGTGTTACAAGGCAAGCCTGTGTGCATATGAGTGCCCCTCTGTATGCACATGTCTATATGTGTCTGTGCACATGGAATATATGCATGTGTAAATGTACCTATGTGCATGTGTGAGTGCATGCATCTCTCTGTGCACACTTGTGTATGAGGCAAGCATGTGTGTCTATGAGAGTGTGCATGTGCCTCTGTTGCACATGAATGCCTTTGTGAACAGGTGTGTGAGGGTGTGTGTGTGTGTGTGCACAGGTAAATGTAAATGTGCACATGTGTGTTCTTGTGTGCCTATGGGGTGAATGTGTGTGTGCACGTGCCTGTGTGCACGTGGGGGCAAATGCAGGTTTGTGTGCATCTATGTGAATGTGGCTGTGTGCACACAAATGTGTGGGTGTGTCACCTGCATGTGCACTCATACGTGCATGTGTGTGCGTGCATCGATGTGACTGTGGGGGGGTCCAAGTAGGTGTGGGCTTGGTGAGCAGAGAGGGTCGAGGTGGGTGTTGGGCCCCGAGGGCTCCTGTCTGGAGAACTGGTCTGTGGGTGCTCCCCCTCCCACTGGGACCTGGGCCAGGGCTCCCTGCAGTCCAGTTTGATGCAGACACTTGTACACTATCCTGCCTGGGTGGGTGGTGGGCCGGTCCACTCCACTCCCTGAGATGCAACCCTTAAATGGTGACCACCCCCCTTCCAGAGGGGTGGCCTCTAAATGGCAGCCTGACCTCTGGTCCTCCATAGGAAGTCCCTGGCAGGGGTCTTGACTTTATGTGTCCCGGCCTAGGCTATGTGGCCTGGGACACTGGGTGGTAGCTTGGCCCTGCTGTGTCCCTGACTCAGGACGAAAGTGCCTGTCTGTGGGGGCCAGGCTTCAGGTTTCCCACAGCATCCCCTCCCCAGTGAGACCTCCCCCCGAGTGGAGGGAGGGGCCCTGGAGAAACTGGGAGACTGGTGTCAGGCCCCCCGAGTGCTGGCAGATGGAGTTCAAGTGGGACCCTCGGTGGCCATGAAGACCCTGGGGCTCAGCTCACAACCCCCCAAAACACACACACACCCCTCATCTCCGCTCTGCACTTGTAGGACAAGAAGGAAGCCCCACCCACCATCGTGCTGGGCCTGACTCTCAAGGGGATGCACATCTACCAGGTGAGCTGCTGCCCGACAGGTGCCTGGCCCTCCTCCCCGTCCTGGTCCTGAGCTCACCCCACCCCCCTCTTCTCAGGAGGTGAACCGCACCCGGCAGCTGTTGCATGACCTGCCCTGGTCTCGTGTTGACAAGCTGGCCTTCCTGGTGGGTGTCCCCGAGGCTCGCTCACAGACAGCAGCTCTCATCAGACACACCGCTCCCGTAGCGGGCCCTGGTGGGAGCAAGGCACCCAAAGGTGGGAAGGCCAAGTCTCCCAGAGGTGCCCAGGAGCAAAGGCCTGTCAGTCAGTTTCCCAAGGGCACTGTCTTGGGAGTGGTTCTTGCACCTGTGGGCCCAGGAGCAGCGTGGTCCAGCGCTGACCCTGGGCCAGGGGTCTAACCCTGGTGTCCCCGTCTCCCTGTGCTAGTGGGGAGCCCTGCCAAGAGGGACCTCCCCTCACGCATGAACCCAGCTGCTGTCGGGCCGACCCCATGGGTGTTGGGAGGACTGCACCCTTGGGTTAGGTGACCAGATTTAAAGTGGGACACCATTGACTGGGGGCAGGTGGGTGGGTTGGTGTTCTTGATGAAAAATTTGGTCTATATGGACCAAATAGACCATTCCCTACCTTGTCATGCATTCTTTCCAAAAATCGGGACTTTTTTAAAACACCAAAAATTGGGACTGTCCCACCAAAAGTGGGACATCTGCTCACCTTACCCTTGGGGGTTTCAATGGCTGGTTTGGGGAGAGGCTCCCCAGGCGTTTCTTTTGAGCTGCCCTGGCAAGCACTCCAACCTCTAGCCTGCCCATCTGCACCGCCAGGATGATTGGACACCTGTGCCCCCTCGAGGCTTGGGGCTGAGCAGTGCGCCTGCTCCTCCTCTCCCTCCAGGGGAAGAAGTTCGAGATCCAGCGGGCTGGGCTGCCTTCCGCCCAGAAGCTGGTCTATTACACCGGCTGCCCGCTGCGCTCCCGGCACCTGCTGCGTCTGCTCAGCTCTAGCCATCGGCTCCACCTGCGCGTCCAGCCGGTGCTCCAGCAGCTGCGGCAGCTCCAGGAGGCTGAAGGTGGGTGCGTGTGCACGCAGTCAGGGGCCAGGGGCTGGCGTGGTCACAGCCTCCTGGCTCTGTGTGGAGCAGGGCTGTGAGGTAGGGCGGGTTGCCCCCCAATTCCTCAGGCCATGCTCAAGAGCCTCTGCATGTGGGAGTGTGTGCACACGTATGTGTGATATGAACCTGTGTGTTGTGCTGTGTCTGGGGTGTGGTAGAATGTCAGTGTGTTTGTGCATGTTATCTATGTAGTGTGCGCATTTGTGGTGGATGTAGTACATAACGTGTGTACAGGGTATTAGGTGTGTAGTGAGTAGGGTGTGTAATGTGTGTAGTATAGGTATGGTGTATTGTGGCATGTAAATACTTGTTTATGCACATTGTATGTAGTGTATTGTGTGGTGTATGCTGTAGTGTGCGGTGTGTAACATGCATGTATTGTGTATTGTTTTCTGTGTAATGGGTGTGTATTGTATACCGTATCCTGTGGTGTGTAACGTGTGTATAGTGTATGTGTGTGATGTGTAAATGTTTATGTGAACACGTGTGTGTGTGTGTGTGTGTGTGTTGGAACATCCCGGCTTCTCCCAAGTGCTCCCCCACAGCTCAGGGTGGTTGGGGACAGCTGACAGGAGACCCTGGGAGAAGCTCCTTGTGTTTGGGGACCGCTCTTCCCTGTCCCCACGTCACATCTGGTTCTCTGTGCTACCCGTGCAGAGAAGAAGCATTATTGCGAGTCCTACGTCAGCGATGGGCTGGAGCTGGACGGGCGCCTGGTCCCCTGGCCCTCCCCGGGCAGCGCTGGCAGCGGGAACAGTGGGCATTCTGCCGACAGCCACACCAGCTCCCACCCATCCAGTGCTGAGGCCGATGCCTACCACATGCCCAAGGAGATGTCTGTAGATGAGCCCTTCTTGGCAGGGGATGCCCCAGCCCCCGAGGATGGTGAGTAGGTGATGGGTGCAGGGGTGGGGGGCATGGGGGTGGAGGGCGTGGGGGTGGGGGGTAGGTAGGGGGACAAGACTTGGAGCCAGACTTAAGAGAGGGCGGGAGGGTGGTCCAGGAAAGGGGCGGGGCAGGCCACGGGAGGTGGTGTGATCTCAGGCATCAGTCAGGCTGGGCACGGGCATCCAGACATGGCCAGGGCCTGGGGCTCAGACCTGTGGGGAAGGGGCTGCCCTTGCTGGGGATACCCTCAGAGCCAGCTCCTGGAACTATGGCCTAATGGTCCCCAGTCTTTTGGGTAGGGGGCAGTGGGCTCTGGGAGGGAGCCTCTACTGTAGATGCCAGGAAAGATATGGTTGGGGGCAGAGGGGGCTCTCCCTGAGGGTGTAGGGGTGCCTGCAGGGTGGATGACTGTTCCCCACACCCACCCTGCCTCTGGTTGGCCATTTTCTCACTGCCCTACCCCCTGTGACAGACACACCAGCTTGCAGCCAGGAACCCCATGCAGTGGGGCGAATCACGCTGGTCAAGATGAGGGGTGCCGAGAGCACCCAGGCCCTGCGCCAGGTACAGAATGGGGCACAGCCAGCTGCCCTGCCCTGCCAGCCCTCCAGGCAACACTGCAGCGTGGCTCTCTGAGGCCAGGACAGTCCCCCAGAGTGACCCCCAGAGTTTTTACTAACATGATCCCTGATGTCCATGGGGAGCTGTGACCAGAGAGAGGCTGTTGGGGGAGGAGGGGATATGGCTCCAATAGCCCCTGGGGGGCATGGGGTGGGGCTTCAGGAAGCACCCAGGTGAGCCCTGCGAGTCCATGGAGGACGTCTGTGGACTCACTGTCCCTACCCCTTGCGCAGGGAATCTCTGCCCATGGGTGGGGGCAGGCTCTCCCCATGGTACAGACTGGCTAGGGGCATGGGCCATGCAGGCAGGTAGGGATGGGCCAGGGCCAGTGGCTAAGGGTTATGTGAGTGACAGAATTGAGGGCCACCCTTGGCAGTGGATGTGGGTCTGTGGGTGAGGTGCGGTTTGGAGTGGTGGCTGAGGGCAGGGTGAGGGGCAGTTTGGGAATGGCGGGTGTCTCATCCCCTCCTGTGCCCGCAGATCCCAGTGGCCCAAGGCCAGGGCCTGATGAAGCTGCACAGCCAGAGGCAGGACGACATGGGGAATGGGGCCCCGCCAGGCTCCTCCGCACACCACTGCCCCTCCGGCTGCGCCTGGGGGGACCCGCAATGCCTGTCCCTGGACCTCGCTGAGGAAGGCCAGCTGGAGGAGTGTGTGGTGTAGCTGGACCACTGGATTCCCACAGGGAGCCCTGCGGTCACTCAGCACCCACATCCTCGTCCTCCTTTGTGTGGGCCAGGCCACTGGACAGGACCCCAGGGGCCTCCGAGCTCCTGGAGAGACATCTCAGGGGGGCTAACCTAGCAGCACCTGACCCCCAGAGCCCTGGGGCATCCAGGGGGACTGTATCTGCATGCCCACACATTGGCATAATGGCTCTGCACCCCCAGCATTGGGCCCTTGGACCCCAAAACTGCCGACGGCCCCCCGGGGTCCCAGATCTGGTTGCAGTGCCTGTGACATCATCCGCACCTGCCCCTAAGGGGGCCCAGGGGCTGGGACTGAGTCCACTCTCTGGTTTAGGAACCAGGGAAGGCTACTGAGGATCAGCCCTGGGGTAAGGAGGGGTGGGTGGGGTCTGTCTGTGCTGGACCATGTCCCCAGCCACCTGGTACCCCGCAGATCAGCCTGTGCCCAGAGGAGGGTACATGTGACATGGCAGGCGCGTAGGGTCCCTTCCTGTCAGGGCCACATCTTATGGGGTGCCTAGTCTGGTTTCCCCAAACCCCTCCAGCGGCCTGGGGAGCACGGGGGAAGGGAGGGGAGGGTGTGTGGCTGGGAGCAGTAGGCTAACTCCACAGTCGTTAGGACTTGGAGGTTTCGGGGTGGACCCCGCTGGGCATGGACTTAGAGCGCGCATAAGGTGTGCTCCTCCTGGGGCGCAGTGCCGGACGCCATACCCGCTGACTGGCTCCCAGCACGGCCCGGCCCTGGGCCAGGCTGGTGCCCAACTGTCTCTGTCCTTTGAAGCCAAAACATAAACGCCCTGAACCCGTGGCCTGGGGTTCCAACTCTGCAGCGACGCTGGGAACAGCGCAGAGCCCCTGGGGGCTCGGGGACCCACACCTTCAGGGAATCAGTCAGCCCCACCTTTCGAGGTGCCACCGCCTCTCCAAGAACTCATTCTGCACAACAAGGGTTAAACTGGCGCCCAGGAGGAGCCCCTAGACCCGAGCTACCCTCGTGGTGGTGCAGCGGGGCCAGCGAGGGCTGAGGTCCAAGAGCTCTGTGCGGCCAGCACTGGGCACTAGGTGGTCAGACTGGCCAGTGCGGGGGAGCGCGCCTCCCAGGGGGGCGGCCAGGCAAGGTGGCCTCAGCTCCCTCTGGTGAGAAGGGGGCATTTTAGGTCCACAGATACCCACACGCACACTCACCAGCAGGCACGTGGGCATAGATGCACACACGCGCCCACAGACCCTTGTGTGGACTTGGGGCATGGCCCCTGTGTGTGCTGAGCTTGCTCCCGGGGGAGGGGGGCAGGCCATCGGGGGTGTGGCCTCCGCCTAGACCACCAGGACACGCCCCGCTCCTACCCCTTTGGTGGGGATGGGGGCCGGGTGTCCCTACAAGCCTGTGGCCACTCCACCGGGCTCACAGATCAGTCTGCATAGACTGTCACTGCCCCCGCCTGAGTCAGGTGGCTCCTCTCCGTGGGGTTGCATGGAGATGCCTTCTTGGTGGACTGAGGCTCCCCCAGGACTTCAGGGGGCAGAGGAAGCCACCATGGCCCCACCCCTCTTCCGCCCACACCCGGAGGAAGTACATGCAGAGGCCCCACCCCAGGAAAGGGCCCCCCAGGAAGGGTCCAGCTGCTGGGCCAGGACAAGAAGGAGGTGGAGGGTCTGGGAAGTGAAAGGCCCAGCCCCCGTCCTCACAGATGGGAACATTTCCGGGAAAAGTTCTCCAGGGAGAGGCTGGATTCTGCAGATGTGCTGTGTGCTCCCGGCCCCCAGAGCTCACAGGACACAGGAGTGTTGGGACAGCTGGATGGCTGCCCTGGCTGGGGGAGGGGTGGCCTGACTGCTGGGGACTTCAACGCCCCAGAAACTGTAAACCTTTACAGGCTCCTTTGCCTTCCAGCGACCTGGCCAGTCCTGCCCCTCCTGGGAGCATGGCCCCACGCCGTCGGTCTCTGAAGCAGAATGGCTCTCAGGAGGCTGGGGAGCCAGTGAGGTCCTTGCACTGCATAACCAACTCTCTGGGCCAACAGGAGCTCCAGGCCCACGGGGACGGATGGCACTGCCCAAGGACCCTGTATGGAAGCAGGCCCCTCTTCACCTGTGCAGCTGCGGCTGGTTTGGTTGGCAGCCAAGCGCTAAGCCTGGGACACCAGGGCTTCTTCAAAAGGCGCGCAAACGAATCCCAAACCCACTGCCCCCGAGAAGGCAATCCTGATGGGAGCAGAGGCCTGTGTCTCCCTCTGGGAGCCACGTGGGGGGTCTGAGTGCCTGACCAGCAACGCAGTGCTGCTCCCCAAGGGCTCCTCCCACCGACGATCCTGTGGTGGGTGGGCAGCACTGCTCTGCCCTGGCGACTGGTGGGGCTGTGGGGAGAGTGACAGGAGAAACAAGTACACCTGCACTTGGGAGGGTATGTGGCATGTGCCTTGGGGGAGGAGACTGGCCTCTCGGGCTGTGTGGTCAGGCTCACACACTTGTGCACACGCACTAGGGCCTTGGGCTCCCCCGGAATGGCTGCCGGGGTGGTGGGGTGGGGGGATAATGAGAAAGCTGGGCAGACATGGCCTGTGAGAAGCGGGAGGATGACTGACTTGCACCTGTGCACGCACACACACACACACACACACACACCCAGCGTGTGGGAGCCCCACCCTCTCTGGGTTGGAAGCAGGGTTTCCTTCGTCGTCTCGTGCAGGCTCCCGCACCTGAGCAGACCTGACTCCCTACCCCGGGGGATCTCCACACCGTGAGAGTATCCCACTCCAGAGGCCTTGAGGCCTCGCCGGCTGTGCGGTGCAGTCGGAGGGGTGAAGGCACCGGGCACAGAGTGGTTGAGTGTGGGGCTGACTTCCCTCCTCTGCCCTGAGCAGCTGCCCCTCCAGGCCCCTTGCTGCTCTCCACTGCCCACTCACGCCTCTGCACATCCCAGAGGCCCCACTCTGTGACCTGAATGTCCACCCCTCTGCTGACCCAGAGGCTTGAGTCCCCCTCACCCGAGAAAGGCTTGGAGACCTACTTCTGGGAATGGAGCCCTGACCCCTACCCCACACCCCTACCGTGGGGCACCCTCATGCAGACCCCAACTGCTGGCCAGGCAGCCCCCCCCTCCTTCTGGTGTGGACCGCGGGTCAGAGTGAAGAGGAAGACGTCCTGGGGGCTGCAGCCAGGCATGGGGGCTGCAGCCAGGGCTCAGACCCACTGGGCAGCGCGTCCTGCCATGTGTGGGGTGGGCACCCGGCAGTGGCGGGCTACCACGTGTGCTCAACAAAGCTCCCACTCCATTTCACCCGCTTCTCGCTGCGACAGGCCCCAGTGGGACTCTTGTCCTGCGGGTGACACTGCAGGAAGGACAATTCTCTCACCTTCCAAGAACAGAGTGGCCAGCCCACCCTCCCTGGCTGGCGTGCCCCCTCTACCCCAGCATGGGAGCAGCTACCTAGGGCACCTCTGACCCGCCTCCTCCATCCTTTCCCTGCAGCTGTGCGAGTCTCAGCCGCTGTCAGGGGTGACCTGAATATCCCCAGACCTGTCCTGGAGCCCTGCCCTGGGACACCCCACTGGGGGGGGGGCTTTATTATGTTAGCCAAGCCCCAGAGGCCCTGGTTGTGCAGCCCAGTCAGAAACAGGGCACGCAGTTGTGAGCAGACAGCAGGTGTACATCCCCCCACAAAGCAACCTCACTGAGGAACTGATACCAAGGGCTCAATTTGAAAATGATGATGGCAACCTATGTACAAATGTGCCTGACACAACAGTTGGATGTGTGGATTGTGATAAGAGCTGTAAGAGCCCTCAATAAAATGATTTTTTTAAAGACACCCCCCCCAAGAGCAAGTGTCCGGAATCAGGACTCACAGCTGCCAAACCTGTGAGAAAATGCCCCTCTGCTTGTTTAAGTTACCCCCTGTGGTTAATGCACACCAAGACCCCTGACACCCAGGGTACAGACAGCAGCAATCCTTGGGCGCCCAGCCCGCGTAAGCGACTGACAGGGAGCAGGTGCTGTCGAGAGGGTGGGACTCAGGGAGCCACGCGCAAATGGCAGAGGGGCGCTGCCTGGTCTGTGCACGCTCACATCACTGCGGGGGGGCCCTCCTCCATCCCTCGAGTTAACAAGCACGGTGTCCTTTCCCAGGGACTGGTCCCTGCTGACAGCCTGTCCACTGCAGGTGAGACCCAGCCTGGCCATCTTTGCGTCTAAAGAGGGATCAGCCTGTGCTTCATCCAGTGCAGTCTGCTCGCTCCTCCGGCAGTCCGTGCGTGGTACTCAGCCAACTCCGCCATGCACACGCCCGGATCCTTCTCCAGAACTCCAGTCGTGTCCAGCTCTCACATGAGGCACCCTTGCTCTGCTGCTCCACGCAGCCACCTGTCTAAGGAGATGTCTGCTTCCAGGAGCATCGACTCTGGATCCAATGGAGGCAAAACCCTTGACAGTTCCAGCCTTGTCTGCGTTTATGCGATGTTCCCGACTGGTCCAGTTGTGAGGGTGCTGGTCTTCGTGACAGGAGTCGGGGCCCGTACCGGAAGCTACAGCCTGATCATCATCTGCAAGGGCTCCTGGCCCCCTCACTTGCAGCCACAACGTGTGGCACCTGCATCCTGCACAGGTTGCTCAGAAGCTTCCTCCGTCCGATGCCACACTCCACTTCACGGGGTGTGGCTCACCTGAGCACCCTTCTCCTGGGCCCACCACCAGCTGAGGGCTGGTTCAAGGACCAGCTCTGCCCTGGCTGGTCATCCCTGCCTCCAGTGTCCCTAGGAGATGGCTGGCAGGGGCAGGAGGTAAGGACCACCTTGGGACTTTCCAGAATGTTCTAGGAGAGAACGGCTGCTCACGTCCAGGATGACGAGAGGAAGTCTAGCAGGACCTGCTGCTGGTCTCTCTGTGTCTCATCAGCTGTGGACCCCCGCACTCAGTGTGTATCCGTGGTCCGTGTCTGCACTGTGGCCAGGGGGTGGAGCCTGGGGCCAGGGGGATGGACAGACGGGACGGGCATAGCTAACTCCTCCATCAACACTGTTTGCAGACTGGACAGGCCTGGGGAGGGTGGGGGCTGAGCAGCCTGCGGTACCATGCACCCTGCCCTTGACCGGGGCCCTGTGTAGTGAGATCCCCCCCTCTCCCCCCGCACACCCACAACTCCTCACCAGGGGGCTCTGCAGCACACTCGGCAGGGTCAGAGCAGCTTCCCGGTGGGCACCTCCCAGGACAAGCCACTCGCCATCTCTGAGCAAATCTGTTTATTTCCCCCATGTCATGGAGGGTGACGGCAGGTGCCCCGACCGCACACCACCCTCACGTGGGCTTCCTGGGGCCTCTGCTGCCCGCGCTGCCCCACTGGACCTGCCGGGCCCGGGCCCCAAAGCTCAGTGTCTGCAGGGTGGACACCAGGTGCTCGGGGCAGGGGGACACGCACAGCACCAGCAGCAGCTTGGCGTCACCTCCTTGAAGAGATGAGGGTCTGAGTGCAGCGCCCGTGAGACCCCCATTGACCCCCCACCCCCACCCTGGGTCACAGCACAGTGGGTAGGGGCTCTCGAGAGGGTGGGGGCAGTCTTGGAGGAAGGGAGCTTCTGTCTGGAGTCCGAGCACGCCCTGGGGAGTGGGGTGGGAACAGCATGGACTCCAACCCGAGGCGGGTGGTGTCTCGCCCCACCCAGGGTCACCGAGGGCAGGGTGGTGTTGGGGCGTGGGGCTCACCAATGCCATCCTTCAGCAGGTGGGTGAGCCTGCTGTTACGGTAAGGGATGTGGCCCCGGTGCTCCCACAGCGCCCCCAGGACATCCCCAAGGGCCGCCAGGCTCCTGTTGATGCAGGAGGCCTCTCGCAGGGCCGGCCCTGTCACACCGGATACGCCTGGGGACAGGGACCCACAGTTACAACCTGCATCCCACCTGCGGGGCATTGGGGAATGAGTTGGGGTCATGGTGTGGAGCAAGTTGGTGGCCCAGGGACCACCTGCTAGAGGACACAGGGACACATCTACTCTGACCCATCACAACCCCTACTGCAGGGACTTTGAGGCCCCTGCTGGGGATGCTGTTGGAGATGGACCCACAGGCCAAGTCGGCTGACCCATGTGGGGAGTGGGGTGTCACAGGGGCATAAACATCACCCCCAGGAGAGGTGGGGCAGGGGCAGCGGGAGGGGGCAGTTCCTGGGACAGCCTGGCCGGCCATCTGGGTGATCTCCCAGCACACTGCCACACTCTGCATTCCCCAGGGCCCCTTGCCACCTGGGAGCACCCTCCCTCTGAAAGCCCCCCATCCCCTGAGGCCCCTCCCCTGCTCCTGCCCCAGGAGCACCCGGCCCTCGGGGCACTCTGCTCACCTGAGGGCACTCTGCTCACCTGGGAACACTCTGTTCACCTAGGAGCACTCCTCTGCTCACCTGGAAGCACTCTGCTCACCTGGGACACTGCTCACCTGGAAGCACTCTGCTCACCTGGGGACACTGCTCACCTGGAAGCACTCTGCTCAACTGGGGACACTCTGCTCACCTGGAAGCACTCTGTTCACCTGGGGACACTCTGCTCACCTGGAAGCACTCTGTTCACCTGGGGGCACTCTGCTCACCTGGGGGCACTCTGCTCATCTGGGGACACTCTGCTCACCTGGAAGCACTCTGCTCACCTGGAAGCACTATACTCACCTGGGGGCACTCTGCTCACCTGGGAGTACTCCGCTCACCTGCACACTCGCTGCCGGCCAGGTCCACGAACTGTAGCTGGGTGCAGGCCTGTTCCAGCAGAGCCGAGGGGCCCCCGAAACCCAGCCCAGGAGGGAAGACGGGACTCACAGCCCGCTGCTTCTCTCTCACCAATGGCCGAGGGGAAGGGCAGGTGGGCACGTAGCCTGGTGGGTGGTCTGGGGGGTGACCTGAGGCAAGGAACAACAAACAGGAGCGAGCTGGTCAGGAGCGGCTTCAGTCACAGCGAGGGCAGACACGGCTGCCCCTCCATGCAGGTGGATGGGGCCAGGGAGGAGGGAGGGCCGCCTCCACCCTGAAATGGACCCCACTCCCAGCAATACGTATCTGAGCCAGAGTTACTGTCTCTCAGATAAGCTGACAGCCCTGTGACTGCACCTCACCCAATGGGGCCTCCTGCACCCCACTGCTAATGGGGGGTGGGGATGGGGGCACCCCAGACTTGTCAGGGTGAAACAGCCAAGTGGTCCGTGTACCATGCTCCCATGGTGGGAGACATGGGAACACACATGGCTTATGGGGTGACCCCCGCTGCACACACCCTGTGGGTGGCCACGGGCCCTGATGATGTCTGTCCTGGGCTGGCTGAGGCCCTGCAATCTTACATCACCTGCTTTGACCTCAGCTGGCCGGGGCTGCCGCAGCCCAGTGGCTTTCAGGTGTGGCCCTGGGACAGCAGGTGGACATCCCTGAATGCTGGGATAGGCAGGTGACCAGTCAGTGCCAGCCCAGATACCCAGCTCCGCCCAAGGGGCTGTGTCCAGCCAGCTGCTGCCCTGGGCATGCTGACCAATAAAGACACAAGGGCCTGCTCTGCCTGCACCTGGCAGTGCTCACGTGTGGATCAGTCACAGAGCCCAGACTCGGGGCTCACTTTTGAGGAGCGTGATGTATCCCTCAGCTCACACACTGACTGCGCTGCCATGGCTCACTCAAGGCCGGAGGTTCAGGTCCCCGGGCACCCAGGAAGAAAGGCCTGGTGACCACTTCAATAACACCAGCCCTGCCTGGCACGGGGTCACCCGAGTGGAGGTCACCCAATGGCAATTGGCTTCATTACACTTCTTTACAAAGGGTCCCCGCCCCCTCCTCCCCTGCTCCTCCCACAGCCACTGAGTTCTCCTTGGTCCCCATCACTGCCATGGGATTCAGCCGGGCGTCACACAAGGAAACTCACCACTGCTGCCGGGGGAGGTGGCCACGGGCAGAGTCACTGTGATTATCAGGTGGGACCTGGACGAGTCAGCGTGCACCAGGGTGGGGTGTCTAACCCTGAGATGCAGACTGCCAGCAACCAGACTCATGAATTCCGCAGCGCTGTGCACCATCCTGCAAGAGGACAGCAATCACACAGGTAATGCACAGGTGAGCGCCACAGGTGACACGCAGGGAATGCCCACAAAAACCTCGGATGGGTAATTCATAAGAAATACCACATAGGTGATACACAGCGAACTCACATGAATGATTGACACAACACACACAAGTAGCACAGATTGCCATGCAGGTAATTCATAAGTAACACATATGGGTAAATCACACAGGTGACACAGGTTAACACACACGGGACTTGTGACTCATGCAGGTAGCACACTGCTGGTGCACGTAGAGAACACACCTCAGTAACTCACACAGGTAATTCACATGGATAGATCATACAAGTAACTCACGAGGCATCACAGCTAACACACATGTGACTCATGCAGGTTACCCACTGGTAATGCACATAGATAACACACACAGGTAATACACCTGGGAAATTCACCCAGGTAATACATACTGGAACAGAGTGAGGAAAAGCCGTCTGTCATCCATCACCTTCTAGCCCTTCTGTCTAGAAGGGGAACTCTCACCTACACTGTCCCTACACTAAATATAACTACATCTCCCGTTCACTGTAACTCCACTAAATATAACTACATCTTCCGTTCACTGTAACTCCACTAAATGTAACTACATCTCCCGTTCACTGTAACTCCACTAAATGTAACTACATCTCCCGTTCACTGTAACTACACTAAATGTAACTACATCTCCCGTTCACTGTAACTCCACTAAATATAACTACATCTCCCGTTCACTGTAACTACACTAAATGTAACTACATTTCCTGTTCACTGTAACTCCACT